AGAGCAGCAGCACCACCAGCAGCAACACCAGCAGCAACACCAGCAGCAGCAGCAGCGCCGGCAGCACCAGCAGCACCAGCAGCAGCAGCCGCAGCAGCAGCATGAGTGCGTTTCTGAAATGATGGGTGCTCAGCAGCAGCACGATGCAGAGGGCAGTGCAGTAGTTGCGGGAGGCCTGGACGCACAGCAGCAGCCGCAGCAGCAGCAGCAGCAGCAGCAGCCGCAGCCGCAGCCGGCGCCCGGGGGGATGATGCGCTCGCTGGCAGAGTGTGGGGCCCCCCCACGATCTTATGCAGAGGGGGCCCCCCCTCCTCCTCTGGGTATTGAGACACAGAGGCTTCATACATACGGCCGTCTGCTGCACCAGGGTGGCTTGGGGGCCCTTCCTGCTGCTCCTTATGCTGCGCCTCCGTTTCACCTGCCGCAGCAGCAGCAGCAGCAGCAGCAGCAAGGCAGGCCGATGCAGCAGCACCACAGTCAATCCCACCATGCCCAGCAGTTCCTCAACACAGGAGAAGCAGCAGCAGGGGGGCCCCCAGGGGGCCCCTCTGGAAGGGGCCCCAGGGGGGAGAGAGCGAGGCAGCGCAAGGCTGACCGCCAAGCCAGTGCGCGGCAGCAGCAGCAGCAGCAGCAGCATGCGCAGCAACACGCGCAGCAGCACGCGCAGCAGCAGCAGCAGCAACATGCGCAGCAGCAGCCTCACGACCTGCACCAGCAGCCGCAGCAGCAGCAACCGCAGCACCCCCTCGGAAGCGCGGAGAGTGCTGCAGCAGGTCTGCAGCAGCAGCAGCCGCAGCAGCATCCGCACATGATGGACAGCAGCGCTGCAGCAGGGCAGCAGCAGCAGCAGCAGCAGCAAGAGCTGATGCAGGGGGGCCTTATTCAGCCTCCCCAAATGCTGGGGGCCCTGCCGCCTCAGGCGCTGCTGCCGCTCGGTATGCAGCAGCCAAGCTATCATTATTTGCTTGCAGGGGGTGATCTGAGGGGCCCCCAGCAGCTGCCGCACCTGGCAGCAGCAGCAGCAGCAGCAGCAGCAGGTGGCCCGCAGCAGATGCAAGCCTTCGGGGCTGCAGCACGGCCGGGGGCGGGGGCTCCGTTGCACCCGAACCAGGCAGCAGCAGCAGCAGCAGCAGCAGCAGCAGCTGCAGGCGCTGCAGCAGCCATCCCTGTGTACGGAATAGTTGGCAGCAATTTGCTGCCTTGCGGCGCAGGGCTGCCGCTGCCGCACTGCGGAGATATGCCTTTAGTTATGCAGGCTGCTGTTCCCCCCCCTCTGCTGCATGTGATGCAGCAGCAGCAGCAGCAGCAGCAGCAGCCGGGGCCTCTTGGCGCCGCAGCCCCTCCTCCGCTGCATGTTGCTGCCGCCCCTGCTGCTCCTGCTGCTGACGGTAGGCAGCAGCAGCACCCTCGACCCGACCCGGCGCTGCAGCAGCAGCATTTCCGCATGCAGCAGCAGCAGCAGCAGCAACAGGGTGGCCGACCCTTGTCTCGCCCAGCCTCTGATATCGTCTGCCCTGCTGCCGCTGCTGCTCCAGGTGAGGCCAGGGGCAGCATTACTGAGGGGGCTCCACCTCTCTCTGCAGCAGCAGCGGAGCCTGCTGCTGCAGCAGACGGCGCCTCACAGCCAGCTGCAGCGCCTAGTGTAGCTGCGACAGCAGCAGCAGCACCTGGCGGCGCAAGTGGACAGCAGCAGCAGCAGCAGCAGCATTCGGATCGGCGCGCCAGGAAGAAGGTGCAGAACGCCCCAGTAGATCGGGCAGCAAAGAGAGAAACTGCAGACAAGTCGGAGCAGCAGCAACTGCAGCAGCAGCAGCAGCAGGGAGCAGCGCCAGTGAGCACTTCCCAGCCAGATGTGCCTCCGGTGTCGCCTACAGCAGCAGCAGCAGCAGCAGCACCAACAGCGGCACCCGGAGCAGCAGCCGCAGCAACAGCGCCAGCAGCCACAGAGTTTCAGCAGCCTAAGGGCGGCCGCCCTTCTGCTGCTGGCGGCAGCAGGAGGGAACCTGCTGCCGTTGCTGCTGCTAATGCTGCTTCAGAAGGCTCGCGGTCTGCAGAGGGGGTGTATGCCGAGCAGCAGCAGCAACAGCAGCAGCAGCAGCTGTCGCAGCAGCAGCAGCAGCAACAGCAGCCGAAGTCTCAGCGGAAAGAACGCCCGGTCGACTTGCCCGGTGATGCTGCAGCAGGAGCAGGAGCAGCAGCAGCAGCAGCAGCAGAACAGGAGCAGCAGCAGCAAACTCCCGCAGCAGCAAGGAGGCCGTCAGCTTCTACCAATGGTCTCCTCAGTCCTGGTGAAGCAGCAGCAGCAGCAGCAACAGGAGCTGCTGCTGCTACCTCCAGCAGGCGTCCCTCCCGCTTAAGTAGCCCTCGCCGAGGGAGGAGCCCCCGGGGGAGCCTCAGCTCACAGCAGCAGCAGCAGCAGCAGCAGCAGCAGAGCCGGACTGGAAGTAGGGTAGAGGCTCTGCGTGGGAATGATTCCGTGCAGCAGCAGCAGCAGCAGCAACAGCAGCAGCAGCAGCAGCAGCAGCAGCCAAGGAGAGAGGGCAGCCAGAGCCCGTCGGCAGCGCCAACAGCAGCAGCAGCACCAGCAGCCGCAGCAGTCGATAAGCAGAGCAGAGAAGGTGACGCAGCAGCAGCAACAACAGCAGCAGCAGCAGCAGAGACTCCTCCTTCCACAGCAACGGCAGCGCCTTCTCATACATCCGACTCCTCTGGCGGCTTCTCGCCGCTGCGTGCTGCAGAGACAGCAGCAGCAGCAGCAGCAGCAACAGGAGCAGCAACAGCAGCTCCAGCGCAGCAGAAGGGTTTGGGTCGGGGTTTAGATGCCCTTACGCCTGAAGCCGCAGCAGCGCCAACCGCAGCAGCAGCACCAGCAGCAGCAGCAGGAGCAGCAGATACTGCATTTATGAGACGTGGAGCGTCCCCTGCTTCAGCAGGAGCAGCGCCAGCAGCCGCAGGAACAGCAGCAGCAGCACCAGCAGCAGCAACAGCAGCAGCACCGGCACCAGCAGCACCAGGGGTGTACTCTATTGCAGACCTTGTAACGCTCTACCGTGCTCTGAAGCCTCACATTGAGGCCCCTGACTGGCGGTTTTGCTGCGGGGATATGGAGGACCTGCGGAGACAGGGCAGCGGCGGCGGCGGCGGCAGCAGCAGCAGCAGCAGCAGCAGCGCCGGCGGGCTGGGGAGCGCGAGAGACTGGCAGCGGCGTGCTGGAGCTCCTGCTGCTGCAGGCAGCAGCAGCAGCAGCAGCAGCAGCAGCAGTGGGCTGAATGGCTTCGGTGCTGGGAGTCTCTTCGGGGGAGCACGGAGGCCAGGTGGAGCAGCAGCACCAGTGGGCAGCAGCAGCAGCAGCAGCAGCAACAACAACAATGCTTTCAGGTGCCTTAGGGGCCTAGGAGAGCTAGATGGAGGAGGAGACAGGCAAGGAGACAGCCGCGCAAACGCCAGCAGCAACGCTGCAGCAAGTGCGCCGCAGTGGAGATCGGTAAGCGTTTCTTTTGTGTCTCTTGCTGCTGTCTCTTTCGTCTCTTGCTGCTGTCCCCTTCATATATTGCTGCTGTCTCCTTTGCTGCCGCTTTCTGCTGTCTCTTCATAGTATTGTTGTGATATTCTAAATGCATCTGCTGCAGCTGCTTTACCTGCTGCTGCTGTTGTTTTAACTGCTGCTGCTGCCGCTGCTGTTGCTTTAACTCCTGCTGCTGCTGCTGTTGCTTTAACTCCTGCTGCTCCTATCGCTGCTGCTGCTGCTGCTGCTGCTGCTGCTGCTGTTTGTTAGAGCGGAGGGGGTACAGGGGGCCCCCCTGTTCGTGGGGGCCTTGGGGTGTCTCGGGGGCCCCCAACAGATGGATATTCAAAGTTGAGCGGTTTCTTCGGTAACAGGCCTCCTCCGCCTACCCGGGAGCCTCCTGTAAGACATTTAATAATTATATTTTGCTGCTGCTGCTAGATAATGCTGTCTCTTTTGTTTGTTTTATCTGCTGCTGGGTTGTAGTGCTGTCTCCTTTGTGTTTGATGCTGTCTCCTTTCTTTGTTCTGTTTGTTGCTGCTGTCGTATGCAGCAGCCTTTTACTCTTCTTTGCCTTCGTTGTCTCTTTATTGCTGTCTCCTGTCTCTTTGTCTGGTTTTGTTTGTGCTGTTTGTTTATTAGAAGTGCTGCCTCTTTAATAAGCGCTGCTTTGTTTGATGCTTTGTACTTGGGGTTTGTGCTTCTTCTTTGTTGCTGTTTGCTGCTGCTCTTCTTCCTTCTCTGTCTCCTTTCTTAGTGTGCCCCCTACAGTCTCCTTTTAGGGTTTAGGGTTTAGGGTTTAGGGTTTAGGGTTTGTCTCCTTTTGTGTTTTTTTCTTTTCACCTGTAGCCTCGCATGATATCTGCTGAACCTCCTCCTTCCATTCTTGCTGCTGCTATTGCTGCTGCTATTGCTGCTGCTGCTGCTGCTGCTTGTGCTTCAGCCTCAGCAACCTGCTACTATCCGTGCTGCTGCTTCTTCAAGTCTCCGAGCCGTACGAGAGATAGACCCGAGGGAGAGAAAGAGACGGTCTCTTAATGCACTTCTAAACAAACTTACTATTGACAACTTCGGTGTTGTCTGCGAGAAGATTTGTTTAGAGGCAGAGCAGTTTGATGCAGTCGCGGACTTGGAGCTCCTCTCAGATCTTCTCTTCAATAAGGTCAGCAGCAGCAGCAGCAGCAGCAGCAGCAGCAGAAACAGTAGCAGCAGTGCAGCAGCAGCAACAGTAGCAGCAGCAACAGTAGCAGGAGCTGCAGCAGCAGCAGAATATGCAGAGTGTGCATGGATAGGAGTTTAGCTGCTGGGTGCATACGTTGTTTTGTTTTGTTGCTGTCTTTGTTTTGTTGTTTTATTGTTTTATTGTTTATTATTATTTATTTAGATAAGTTTAGGCCGTTGTATTTGCTGTTTTATTGTTTATATTTCCTAATTCACATATATATATATATATATATCATCGAATCTTCTGGGGTGTATGCTAACCACCGTGCATATAGTACAACTATGTAAGGAGCTAATAGCAGGCTTTTATTTGTTATTTATTTATTTAAATTAATTAATTAATTAAATTAATTAATTAATTTAATTAATTAATTGAATTTATTGTTTATTTTCAGGCGGTGTCTGAGCCCGAGTACAGCGAAATGTACGCCGATTTATATCAAATTATTCGCTGGCGAAGTTTGGAATTTGAAGTGCCGGGCGAAGAGCGAAAGATAAACTTTCATAGAACATTTGTGAATAGGCTTCAAGATGAGTTCGAGAGGTATATTTAATTATTTTATTATTTAATTATTTAATTTAATTTGTTATTTAATTTATTATTTTATTTATTTATTATTTATTTAGTATTTAGTTGGCGTTGTTGCGGTGTTTCGATTGGTGTTTTTATTATCATAGAACTTCTGTTCATACACTTCAAGATGAATTCGAGATGTATTTAATTATTTATTTATTTATTTATTTATTTATTTATTTATTTATTTATTTATTTTATTTATTTATTTGGTTGGAGGAGTGGTGGTATGGCTGTCTATGGTTGTCTTAGAACTTTTGTTAATAGACTTGAGTATGAATTTAAATTATTTATTATTGTTTTTAATTAGCGTTTTATTGTTATTGTTGTTTCTAATTACTGCTTCTACTATTTATGCTGTTGCTGCTGCTGCTGTTGCTGCTGTTGCTGCTGCTGCTGCTGCTGCTGCTGCTGCTGCTGCTGCTGCTGCTGCAGGCTGCAAGGGAAGAACGTGTTGTTGATAACGGAGGAGGAGCGTGCGGAGTGTGTAGAGGCTGACGACGAAGCAAAGTTATTAAAGAAGAAGAAGACAAGAGTATTAGGCAATATGCGTTTCATCGGAGAGTTATTCTTAAGACGCGCACTCAGCCCCAATGTCTTAAATGATGTTGTGCATGCACTCGTATTTAGCAGCAAAGGAGATGCCTTCCCAGACGAGCACTTCATCGAATGCCTTACTGAGCTCCTAACCACCATAGGTAAGCAGCAGACTAGAGCTGCAGCAGCAGCTAATGCAGCAGCAGCTGCAGCACCTAATGCAGCAGAAGCTATCCTTGCAGCAGCTAGTGCAGCAGCAGCTAGTGCAGCAGCAGCAGCTGCAGCAGCAAGCGCAGGAGTGCTAGCTAGGGAGACTGCTTGCATTTTTATTTCTCTTTGTTTTTGTTTGTCTTCGTTTGCCTATGTGCATGCATGCAGTCCGTGCATTAATTAATTAATTAATTAATTAATTAATTACTCCATAGTAGACGCATGCACAAATTAATAAAAGCATAATGAATTCTATATGTACATATATATATATATATATCCGTATATATATATATATTATCTGTATGTGCATTAGATTTATATACATCTATATATAAGTATATATATATATATACATGTGTATTTATATGCATATATACTACATGTATATAAAATATATCTATATATGCACATATAAATTAAATAAATTAAATAAATATATAAATATATATATTTGTTTGTGCTGTATATATATACTAGGCTACACGATGGACTTACAAGACTCATCGCGAGGGATGATGAACGAGTTCATCGGTAAACTTCAAGAGTTGCAGCTGCGTGCTGGATATTCAAGCAGAATTGTCTTTAAAATACAAGACCTCTTGGACTTGAGACAGAGACTTTGGACGAAAAAAGTCTTCAAAGATGTCGCCAAATCCGTTGCTCAAATTCGAGAAGATGTACGCCTCATATATATAATATATATATATATATATACATATATAATATATATATACATATATATAATATATATATATACATATATATATACTATATATATACATATATATAATATATATATACATATATATAATATATATATACATATATATAATATATATATATACATATATATATATATATATATTATATATATACGTGTATATATAGATGCATTTTGCTCATGTCTACTTACATATGCACGTAACATAAATGTTTGTGTATATGTATATATACATATATATAATTATACATATGCAGGTATCTGAGTTTTCTGTAACAATTATTGCTGTTGCTGCTGCTGCTGCTGCTGCTGCTGCAGGCCAAGCGAGACGAGCTGATGGGCGGGGCAATCAAGCTGGCTCAGGAGGGGGTGTTTCTAACGGTGGGGTTGCGAAGAGAAATGCCTTATAAGAAATACTTAGATGAACAAAGAATGCTGCTGAACTCTAAGAGAGCTGCTGCTGCAGCAGGAGGAGACGCAGCAGCAGCAAACAAACGAGTCTCTGCAGCACCAGCAGCAAAAACAACCGCAGCTAGAACACCCGTCACCACCACTTCCAGCAGCAGCAGCAGCAGCAGCAGCAGCAGCAGCAGCAGCGGGCCGCATGCATTCAGTCGGAGCCCAGGGAGCACCGCGGCAACGCCAGGTTCAGCAGCAGCAGGAAACGAACCAGCAGCAGCAGCAGCAGCAGCAGGGTCGCTTAGCAGCAGCAGCAAGGGAGCCCCCGCCCCCGCAGCAGCAGCAGCAGCAAGGCCCTATGAAACTCCGCCAATGCAAAAGGCTGTCGATCTGTTAGCCTTTGAATTTGCTGTGGAACAGGGAGCCCTAGAGTAAGAAAGAGACAGAAAGAGACAGAAAGAGACAAAGAGACAGAGACAGACAGAGACAGAGACAGAGACAGCGATAGTGATAGACAGGAAGAGACAGAGTTATATATATATATATATATCGATATCTATATGTACTTATGAATATATCTATATATATAGCATATAACAGTTAGTATATGTATAACTATCCATCGATATCCAGCGCATTTGTTTGTGAGTATGTGCATGCATATGCATATATGCATATATCGCCTAACAACAATATATATATGTATATATATATATATATATAGAATACATATATATATATAATATATAAAATATATATATATGTACCCATACATATGCAGTGCGTGCAGTGCAGTGCTCTTGTGTATATATATGTATATAACCTAACGAAAATATTATCTACATATACATATGTAGATATATATATATATATGTATATATATACATATATATACATATATATATATATATGCATGCGTATGTTTGTGTGCTGTATGTGTGTGTGGGGTGTACAGGCCTTGCGTGTCGGAGTTTGTTTCTTTGGGTTTGTCTCCGTTTGAATGTGCTGGACAAATTGCTGCTGTCTTTGAGAAGGCTCTCTGCGGAGCACAGCCAGCAGATGCGCTGAGATATGCTGCTCTTGCAGGGCGGCTTGCAGCTGAATACTTTAAAACCAACGGGGAACTTACTCTGCTCTTCGACTTGTACGGCTGCTTCTTGCTGCTGCTGCTGCTGCTGCTGCTGCTGCTGCTGCTGCTGCTGCTGCTGCTGATGTTGCTGATGGTTGTGTTGATGATGGTCATCATTATGCTGCTGCTGCTGTTGCTGCTGTTTTTGCTGCTGGGGTTCTTGGTGCTGGTGGGGCTGCTGTGCTGGTGATGGGCATGCGGGTGTTGCAGTATTGCTGCTGCTGCTGCGCAGCATGTGCTGCTGCTCTTGCTGTTGCTGCTGCATCAGAGTGATGCTGCTGCTGCTGGGAGGGGCAGAGCCAGCGGTTTTGTGGTGTATGGGGAGGTTGTGTGTATCTGCGTGCCTGGGATGTCTCTTCTCTTCGTTTGTTTTTTATTTACGAGTTGTTTTACTTATTTATTTATTGTATTTATTTATGTTAATTAATTAATTAATTAATTAATTGATTTATTTATTTATTTCTGTTTGTCTTCAGCTTCTCTGACGCGGTGATGGGGCAGGTATCGGAGTTAGTCTTAGATTGCCCTTTGGCTTTGTCTATTTGCTTAGAGACATTTGCTGCTCTTATTAAACATGAAGCCTTCTTATCTCGTATTGAAGATATTCTTAAGACAAACCTTAAGCTCCCTCTACCAGAAAAAGATACGCATGCAGTCAAGGTAATAATAAACGCACACACGCAGACGGGTTTAGGGTTTAGGGTTTAGGGTTTAGGGGTTAAGCAACGCTGTAAACAGAAAGCGGCAGTTTAGGATTAGGGTTTAGGGTTTAGGGTTTAGGATGCGCGGTGAACGTTATACTCGCTAGTTTAGGGTTTAGACTTGTTGCTGCGCCATCAACCCTAAGCTGCAATTCTTGGTTTAGGGTTTAGGGTTTAGGGTTTAGGGTTTGTGTTTTGAATGCGCATGCAGCTGTGTAAGGATATCTTAGAACGATGCAGCGGACTTAGCGGAGAGCGAAGGAGACAGGTAGAGCAGCTGCTGGAAGTGTCTCTGTCTGAGGGTTTTGCTGGGCTCTCCACAGCAGCAGCAGCAAAGCTGCTGCTAAGCTGAGAGGAGACAGGAGACAGAGTGAAGACAAACAAAAACAAACAACAGCTCTATGAACTCCTTTTCGCCGCCGAGTGCAGCGCAATGCTCTCTTACTCCATGCATGCATGCATGCATTCATGCATAGATACGCAAGGAGACAGAGGAGGAGACAGAGGGGGAGACAGGCAGACGCCTTGCTGCTTCTTTGTCTCTTCTTGCTGCTCTACTCCAAGCACTCAGCGCATAGAGGAAACTTCGAGTCGGAGGCCCAGCTTTATTTAAGGGCGGTAGCAGCAGCAGCAGCAACAACTACAGCAACAACAGTTGCAGCCGCTGCAGTACAGCAGCAGCAGCAGCCGTTGCTGCTGCTGCGCGAGCTGCGCTGTTGATGCAGCGCGAGCTCCGCTGTTGATGCAGCGCGAGCTGCGCTGCTGCTGCAGCAAGAGCTGTGTTGCTGCTGCAGCAAGAGCTGCAGCAGCTGCTGCTGCAGCAAGAGCTGCTCTGCTGCTGCAGCAAGAGTTGCAGCAGCAGCTGCTGCAGCTCTTGCCCAGGCTTGCGGTTTCTGAATTATGGGGGACGTTTGCCTGGCGCCTCAATTTGATTTTCGCTGAGTGTTGATTCTGTCTGCATGCAGCAGCACAAACACCACCTGTGCATACACCCCAGACTGGGGCGTAGATGTATGTGGCTTCCCTGTACACTCGCCGACGCACCTCCTGCACAAAGCTGCTTCTGCTGCTGCTCTTGCTGCTGCTCCTCATGCTGCTGCTCTTGCTTCTATTGCTGCTTTTGCTGTTGCTGCTGCTCTTGCTGCTGCTGTTAGTCCTGGTGTATATATATATATATATATATATATATCGGGCATGCACCTGAAGAAGAGCTATAGCTCTGGAGTGTTTGGGGCTTTATAAATATAAATTATGAATATAAATATAATAATAAATAAATATGTTTAGACAGAAGAATAAAGGAATGCAGCCAAGCAGGGGGGTGCTGAGATGTAGAAGGTGCTGCAGGGAGGAGACACTGAAGGGCTGTCTCCTTGCTATCTTTGCTGTCTCCTTGTGATGTCTTCACTCCTCTCTGTCTCCTTGTGCTGTCTTGTTCTGTCTCTGTCGCCTTATAATAAATAAAGACACGGCTATCTCTCTGTCTTCTTAGAATGAAGGCAGAGTCTCTTGTCTCCTTTTAATAAAGACAGGGGCCCCTCTGCCCTTATGATGGAGACACCTGTCTGCTCCTGTCTCTACTATCTCTGTCTGTCTCCTTATGATGCTCCTGTCTGTCTCCTTATACTATGATGGAGACAGCTAGATTCTGTCTCTGTCTCTTCATAATAAAGACAAGGGCTCCTGCGGCCTTCCTCTGTGCTTACTGTCTCCTTATATGAGGCTTGGAGGAGACAGTCTCTGTGCTTACTGCCGCCTTATGCTTATGAGGTAGAGGGAGGAGACAGTCTGCTTCTTTGTCAAGGAGACAGTCTCTTCTAGGTGTCTCCTGCCTCAACTGTCTCTTTGTGTCTGTGTGCTGCTGCTTGTTTCTCTTCCTTTGCTGCTGTGGGGTTTTCTCTCCGTGCTGCGCTGCTGTGTCTTTTAAAGACGTGCATATACACCAGAGAAGCCAGCAGCAGAGACATAGTGTGTAACAAACTGCAGCAGGAGTCTCTTCTCTTAATCACAGCACCTGCTAGCCTCAAACTATCGAGGGTTTTGCAAGCCTACAAGGGTTTAGGGTTTCGTAGGGCTGCGCGGTAGGGTTTAGAGACAGTAGAGTTTAGTAATGCTACGGCTTTGTAGGGCTAGGGATGAATTATTAGGGTTAGGGTTTAGTAGGCCTAGGGTTTAGTAAGGCTAGGATTTAGTAGGGCTAGGGTTTAGTAGGGCTAGGGTTTAGTAAGCCTACGGTTTAGGGTTAGTAGGGTTTAGGGTTTAGGGGTAGATAAGGTGTCTCCAAGACAAAACCCTAAGACAAACTGCAGAGAGAGACAGAAAGGAGACTGAGCTCTGCTGTCTCTTCAGGTCGTCTAACTAAAAAAACCACAAACAGAAAAATACTGTCCTCCTCGTGCAGCAACAGCAGCTGCTGCTGCAGCTGCTCCTGCTGCAGCTGCTGCTACTGTTGCTGCTGCT